AACCCAAGTCTACAGGTTTCGGTGAGCTGCGCTGAGATCATGCAGTCAGATCTTGCCTGGCTTCATAGCAAACCCAGTTGTTCAAAGCTGTCAACCTGAGCAACAGCCTTTTAAATTATTCAGCTAGATACCAGCTGTTGTCATTTAGCTTTCAGAAATGCAGTCACAGTTTCTACCCAGCTTGATGCTATTTTTGAGGCAGACAGTGCACAGAGATACCCTCATCTGAGAGCCTTGGACAAAGCTCAGGATGAAAGGTAGCATGGATACATCTTGGATACATTGTAAATCAGATTTCATTCTACTGCCACGCATTAGGCAACATGCCCTTTGCAAGGAAAGGAGATGGATGCTGAAACAGAAGAAAAGTGGTACCTGAGAAGCAGGAAAGTCATAATGTTCTGGGTCCACTGAATGGGAACTTTCATCTTTAACATAATATTACCAAATTTCTTGTAAAGAAGGTTAAGAAGACATTCAGGAAGAAAAAAGGTCAGAGGAAGGAATGTAAACTGGAGACTGGCTGAGGAGAGCCCAGGAAGAAACTGAGAAAAGATAAGAAAGACCAATGTTTTTTCTTCCAGGTCTACATTACAGGAGCACTGCCAACACAAGAAAGCATAGCTTTGCCAGTATAACACACTTTTTGTCTAGTATTTTGCTGCCATAACAGTGCCAAACAGAACTCAAAACCCACAGCTGACCCAGCTGATGCCCAGTCTGAGTTTCTCCTTCTGCCTAATTCCCATGATTTTGAAAGACCCATAGGGGCCTCTTGAAACCAACCTACCAGTCTTGCTTCTATTTCTGCAAGCCCTTTTCCCCCTCCTGTTCAAGCAAGCTAACATTGCTTATGATGAGGACAGGTTACACAGGGGTGCATGAAGAGACTGATCAGCATTTGTTAGCTGTCAGCAAATGGCATCAAAGATGGGTTACGGACAACTAACCTCTGTTGCAAACCAGCGAATGTCACCCCACCAATAACTGCTGTTACAGTGTCCTTTTCTTCAAATAAACTCACTTCAAGGGAAGATGGAACAGGAGCCATTTGGAGTTTGTGGATACTCTTCTGCCATGTGGGAGAATTAAGCTTTGTTTGCAAAAACATGGAGGAGAAAGGATACTAGAAATGAGTGTATTGATAGGAAAAAAAAAGGCATAGAAGTGACTCAGAATAGGATAATCTAGCCAAATATGTAGTGTTAGGAGATGTTGCATAGCTGCACCTATGAGTTATGCCTAAATCACATTTCAGGGAATTCTGTTAGTGTAGGTTGGTTACTGTGTGTTCAGTAAACACTACTTGCCTTGAGATACATACGCACAATACACAGTTCAGACCAGTCACTGACTGAGTAATTACTAAGGACTGAGTAATTACTAAGTCCTGAGTAAGTCACCTTTTGTGCCATGGTATGCCCATCTTGGAGACAACTATGTCTGTTTTCCTCATGTTGGTGACAAAAATCATAGCTGATGTTTAGAACTCATTTGAGGACTCTGGAGAGGGTGAAATGGTGGGAGGTGGATAATCATTTCTCAACTCTGGCATATTAAGATGATCACAACATGCGTAGACCCAGGAGGTCACACTGTAATACCTTGTTAATGTCTTCAAAGCTTTCCAGAGACCTTTATGGAGTTATTCTACATGAAAAATTAACCCTAACATATACTTTCAAAAACTAGATCCAACGTGCAGAGTAAAGAGCCCTTGAGAGGAAGGTTAAGCACTACTCTGCTTTCTTCACTTTCTTGTGAAAGCAGATGTGGGAGTGAAGGGGCTGGCCAGCCTGAAGGCTCTGCACTCATCTGGCTCCTACTGCATCATGCATCACACAAGTGTATGTCACAACAGCTACTGGGGAGGCTGCAGAGGCCTCTCGCTCTGCTTGGTCAGGCCATTTCTGCTGGAAGTGTAACAGGGGAGTACAAAGCTTGCAAATGTGCTCAGCATTGCTGACTCCCAGGGAACCCCACTTTGGTGTTGAAAAAGAAGGAAAATACAATATGCTCGATGCATGCAGTCACATCACCCGCTGCTTCACAAGGAAGAGAAGGAAATTAAATGATACACAGGGGAGACAGGTCTGATTACTGAAAATTATATATACATTCTTGAGGTGAATAGTCTTCATCTAATTTGCAGGTAAATTAGTGATTTACAAAGAAAATAATTACTTAAAATTAATGTCTATTAAAAATAAATTTTACTGACAGACATGTGCCCTATTACCGTGATTTTTTTATTTAAATATTCCACTTGAATTATTTTCTGTATCTCAGTGCACTATGAGATAAGCTGATGGAGGAACAGCAAAGAGTGGCTTAGCAAAAGCTGAAGAAGAGGCAAAATTATCACAGTATGAGAATGGACAAAATTATCTACACCGAAGTTGAAATAGAAAACAGAAACTTTGTTTTTTCACTCAGCACACAAACAAATTCACTCAGCATTACCACAAGATACTGTGGAGGCCACAGGCAAGAAGGGGATGCTGTGGAGGATTTAATAAATAGTGGAATAGGATTCACTGGTGACGATGACCATGTGTGGCTGTAGAAGTCCCTAAAATGCTGTTTCCCAGAGTGAAGGCTTGAAGGGTAGGAGCAATTTTGCTTTGCCTTGTTTATTCAATCATGGTTGCAGCTTCCAGGAGCAGGACTGGGGCCTCTCACACAGGCTGGGGCAGAGGCCCCAGCAGCAGCAACAGCAGGGCAGCAGGAAGAAACAACAGCAACAGCAATCTCAAGTAGCAGATTTCATGATGCTGTGGAAATGCACCTCTTTGTACGCAACCCCCACTGGCCCATGTCCAAGAAAGGATACAGTGTTAGGCAAGCCTACAGTCAGGCACCAGCTGAAATTCCTGAAATCTAGTTTTCTTTTACATAGAGCTCCACTAAAAAAAGCTTTGCAATAAATTTGCTAGCTTTCACATTTGCTAAAGGGCTACTACTTTTCCTCCTAAAACAATTCTGTTAGAAATATGGTTTATAAGAAAAAAAAACATACATACGGTAACATATCCTTGTTTAGCTTAATTCTAGGTGCTTCCTCTGGTGAGAGATGTGCCTTGAGCCATATTGCAGGCAGCAAGGAACGTATGAGTATTTCCTATTTGTGTACATTTGCACATACGTATATATATATTTTAGCCTGACTTCCACTTAGCTATCTGGAGGTAACAACTTGTGTCACCAAAGAGTCCCCAGAGAAACAATCTGTTTGGCAACACTGGACTTCATTATAATTGAGGAGAAAAACAACGTGTGCAGGAAACCATAAAACCCCTCAAGTTAACTGTATCCAACGGCACACCAGCCCGGCTCGGGGAGGGGGGGGGGGCATACAGTCCAGGCCTGTTGCTACAAGTGACTGCAGTGGGTATTGGTGCTGTCACCCGTTCCATTACTGCTCGCTTTTGTCCTCGATTTTGGCCTGTGGTCAGACCCAAGAACAAACTGACCGATAACCTTAGTTATAAGTAAGGCTATTTTTTTGAGTTACAACCTTTGAATGCAGGAGCCCGGGGATTGGGGCACACACCCCCAGCGGGGAGCCTGCTCGCCCTCCCCCCCTCCCCTGCGTCCCGGGGGATTGGGAGTCCCGGGGGGCCACCAGCAGGGATGTCTGCTTTGCAAGTGACCTCTGGAAGGAGCGGCCCTGCATGCAAAGAGGCTAACCGGGAAACCTCCGGGCAATGAACTGCGCGGGTCTGTAGGTGGGGGCTTTTTTTGCATGGCAAATACAACACAGGAATTCGAGAGGATAAAGCAGGGCAAACATTAACCTCCTGTGCCGGTGGCTTTGCGAAACAGCCAGCAGGTCTCCTTTAGTTTGCTGCTCCTTTTCATGGAAAAGAGTTTATGGCTCAAAGCCAGCTGTAAATTAACAGCTAAGTGAAACCATTATGTCAGTGGGATACTTTAATCGGTTTACAAAATACTGTTCAAGATAGGATGCATATCCGTGGGCAAGAGGGGAACGCAAGCGCGTATCAGGGACGGGGTCACGGGTTTTGGCCCAGGTCGGGGAGCACTCAGCTCGGAGGCAGCAGGGAGGTGGGGGCAAGGACCCCCACACACTACCCCGTCCCTCAGTCCCTCCGACCTGCGCATTCTCCCTGCTAACATCGTTGATTGCCCGTGGTTTGCAAGCTCTCTCATTAGAAAGACTTCATTAAAGGTGCCCCGGAGAAACTGGTTTGGATGGAGGATGGGCGGCGGGGCCCCGCAACTGCCCGGGCCCAGAGGCTAGCTCGCTCCGGAGGCTTTCACCCGGAACGCCAGTGCAGAAAAGGGGGAAAAAAAAAGGAAAAAACCACGTATTGTATAAGGGAAAACGACCTCAACCTGCAGTACCGGGGGAGCAGCCCCGGAAGGAGAGGAGCGGCTCGCCGCCTCCCGGCTAACGCGCTGCCAGGAGCTCGGCGGAGGCAAACCCCACCCAGCCCCAGCTACCCCGACCCCTCCATCGGGAACCGTCCGCCCAGCTGCGCACCGCCGCCGAGCCCGGGTTCCGCGGCACCCACCCCACAGCCCTGGAGGAGGGGCGGTTCGGAGACACGGCTGCCCCTCCCTTGGCTCCTCCCGGCAGGGCTGGCCCCGGGGCGGCGGCTCCGCGCTGGGACCGTGGCCGACGCCGGAGCCGGGCCTCCGGCGAGCAGGAGGCTCCGCTGCCCCCGGAGGACGACAGATCGCTGTTCGGAGGGGGCAGGGGGCGTACGAATGATGACAAGAGCAGTCCAGTGTTAGGGTTCAGTTCCAGCTGATTTTATTTCCTTCCCGAAGAACAACAACAACCAAAAAAAAAAAAAAAAGAAAAAAAAGAAAAAAAAACAAACTAAAGAAAAAATAAAACCCAAACAAAACAAAACAAACAAACAAACAAAAAAAAAACCAAAACAAAAGAGCAGTTATTTACAGAAGGTATATCAACAATCTGACAGGCAGTGAACTTGACATGGTTAGCTGGCATGATCTTTTTTTTTCCCTTTTCTCTCTCTCTTCTTTCCCAACATTGCGTTGAGGGTGATCGTTAAGATAAGATTAAAAAAAGAAAAAAAAAACAAATCTACACAGCATATTGCACAGGATGGATGACCAAAAAAATAACAAAAAAATAACAAAAAAGTTAAACCCTTAACGGAACCACCTCATTAGGCAGACGTCCTAGTGCCTGTCATGTTATATTAACATACATAAACACACAATCTTCTTTTTTGCTTATTATAATACAGACTTAAATGTACAAAGATGTTTTCACTTTCTTCATCTTAAACACAACAGCTATAAACCTGAATACATATGCTATCATCATGCCATAAGAGACTAAAACAATTATATTTAGCGACAAGTAGAAAGGATTAAATAGTCAAATACAAGAATGAAAAACGCAGTACATAGTGTCGCGAACTCAAACCGGCATTTCGATAGATCCAGTGGTTTAAACGGCACGGGTTTGCTTCTAAAAAAAGTGCAAAAGATGTGGTTTACAAGTTAAAGGTACAGGATCCCTTCTCTGTAAATGCACCAGTTGCTGTACTTCATTTCGGGACAGGCGTGTCTCCCCAGAACGGTGGCACACGGTGTGTCCGCCTCAGTCCTCCCCTGCCCGCTCCCCTCCGGACCCCCTCAGTAAAGGCGGGGGGCTGCGGAGCGGGCACAGGCGGCGAGGGATGCTGTCACTTTAAGATGCCTGCAGATTGGAGTGTAAACATGGACAAAAGGGGCTGACTCGTGGGTGCGTGAGAGTGAGTGAGCGTGCACACGCGGGTGAGATACTAACCAGCGGCCCTGTTGTTAAAATCAGGAAATCCAAACAGCGATTTACACCGATTTACACCCCCTTTATATATTTTTTACAAAAATACACTGAGAAAATAATCAAACGTTTTCATCTCTCTTCTCTTTTTGTTTGTTTTTTCTTTTTTTTCTTAAAAGTGTCAAAAGTCTACATTTAAATATAAAAAATTAAAAGTTAAAACTCTAGCCCTTCAGTGAAGGAGACATAAAAATGGTGTGGGTAACAACGAGAACTACCAAAAAAGGACAAAGAAATACAAGTCAAAAATGTTTGGCCAGTATAAATACGTCCACTTATAAAATGGCATCCGATTACATTTACAAGGAAAAATAAAAAAACGGAAAAACAACACGAGGATGGAGCATCGGTGAGAAAAAACCAGTCTTTTCATTTACAGCCATAAGGAACAAACACATACATACTCTGAGAAAAAAATTTGGTCCTGAATTTTCTTTTCTTTTTTAAAAAAAGTCCAGCACAGATTTGAGTTGCGTTTGAATCCTTTAAAGAGTTAAGAATGAAAAAAAGCTGGTGATATTTTTGTAGGAATCAAACATAGCGCCATCTATCTGCTTTTATATTATCCTAACACTAGGGTTTTTTAAACTGTTCAACAGTCTTACAGAAATCTTAAAAAGATAGACAGGATAACATGCTATATTAAACCCCACCAGTGAAATAATCCAACACCATCACGATTCTGAGTAAGAAGAAAAAAAACTACTTTTTTTTTTTTTTCAGTATTTTCGTATTTGGGATTTTTTTTTTTTTTTTTTTTTTTTGCAAAAGCCGTCGCCCTCAGTTTTCCCTGTACCACATCACGACAGAAACTGTTCCCATTCGGTCTCTGTTTCCAAAGAAGTTTTCAGTGTTCTTGAAGTTTCGGCCTTATTTTTCCTTTCTACATATGACATCAGGTGACCGAGAAAAGCGCTGCCGCCACCTCAACCGTACGTGCAAATCCGTTTCAGTTTATTATTATTTTCCCCCCACCGTATTTCCAAGACAACTCTCAAGTGTGAGTCTGGCTCTTCTCCACTTAACCGGGATCTCAGTCCAGCTCCCAGCTCCATCCGTCTCCTCCTCCTATCATCGTCGCCTCTCACCGCTTAAGAAACCGGGACAGGATTTCTCCCCCCAGACGCGAACCTTGCAAGGGCTTGGGTGTTTTTTTTTGTGTTCGTTTCTTTCTCTCCGTTTTTCCAAGCAGTTCAGCTCGCTCTTTCACGCCAAAGGGCGAATGCTCAAGACCTCCAGCGTGCGCTTAACACAATGCATCGCTCCCCCTCCTCTTTATTCATATAAAGTGGGCAATAACAAAGAACCCAGAGGTGTGTGCGGTTCCCCCCTCCCCTCCCTCCCCCCTTCTTTGTCTCTCTTTTCAGTAAATAAAAAAGGGAAAAGGCAGCATTTCGCTCTCGCCAGTCTCTGAAAAAGCAACATCGGAGGAGGGGGGTGTGTTTGTGCGGGTCCGTCTCCGGCTGGGGGAAGAGGACTGCTGGCCTTTCCGCAAGCAGAGGGCGATCCTGCTCTCGCCGCCCAGCTCCCCGAGCACCAGCAGCAGTCTCAACAGCCCCTTCCCGGGGAAGGCAGGGGAGAAAGGGGGGAAAAAAAAAAAAAAAAAAAAAAAAAGAAAAAGGAAAACAAACTCGAGAAACGCGCCCGGCGGTGCCTCCTCCTGCAGCGCCCGGCTCCTGCCTCAGTACGTGAAGACCAGGTTGGAAATGCTGGACTCCAGCCAGTCACCCGAGATCATCTCACTTACCTCCGGCGTGCAGTAGTCCGGGAACTCAAAGTGAGAGCCCGAGCCGGGCTCGAAGTTAAAATCCAGGTCCCTGTCGAGCACCGAGGAGCTGAAGCTGCCCAGGGACATGCTTTCAAAGCCGGGGCTGGGGTTCAGGTCTAAGAGGTCGTCCTCAAACTCGTCGTCCGACGAAGAAGAGCCGGAGGAGGAAGAGGAGGAGGAGTGGCAGGACGCGGAGGAGGAATGCGCCGTCGAGGGGGCTGGGGAGGAGGCGCGCAGGCTGGTGTAGCTGCGGTGATCCGAGGGAGAGCCCGAGCCGGAGGGCGAGGGGCAGGCAGCGCCGCCGCAGTCCCCGTCGGGCCGACCCGCCCCACCCCCCCCCTCCTCGTAGAGGCTCAAGGGGTCTCCGGCCTCCGCCGAGCTACTCAGCGTGGGGCTGCCGGGCACGGCACCGCCGGGGGAGGCGGAGGCGGCCGCCGCCTGCCCACTCCCGAAGATGTAGACCCGCTTCAGCTTCTTCTCGGCCAGCGGCTTGCCGGGACCAGAGGCCGCGCCCGCCGCCCCCCGGGGCTTGTAGAGGGCCTGGTGCTCGGGCGGCAGCAGCGCGGCCGGCGGTTCCCCCGGGAAGGGGGCAGCTTTGCCGCCCGCCGCTGCCTTGCCGTGGGGCTTGCCGCCCGCGCCGCCGCTCGCGGGGGAGGGCTTGGAGCCGCCGCCGCCGCCGCCCTTCTTCGGGGCGGGCTTGGCGGAGGCCGCGGAGCCGCCGGTGCCGCCGCCCGCGTTGCCCCCGCCGGCGCCGCCCCCGCCGCCCTTGTCCGCCTTGTCGCCGGGCTTGGCGGAGCTGTTGCCCGACTTCACCTTCTTCCTGGGCCGGTACTTGTAGTCGGGATAGTCCGCCATGTGCTTGAGGCGCAGCCGCTCCGCCTCCCGGATGAAGGGGATCTTGTCGCTGTCCTTGAGCAGCTTCCAGCGCTTGCCCAGGCGCTTGGAGATCTCGGCATTGTGCATGTCGGGGGACTGCTCCATGATCTTCCGCCGCTCGATCTGCGACCACACCATGAAGGCGTTCATGGGCCTCTTGATGTGTCCGCTGGGCGTCTTGCACCAGCTCGGGTCGTCCGCCTTCCCCCCCGTGGAAGCAGTGGAGCCCGGCGTGGGGGAGGAGGCGATGCCCAGCTCGATGCCGGCCCCGGAGTCGGAGGTCTCGGCGGCCAGCAGCGCCTCCGTGTTCTCCGCCGTGTTGGTCTGCTGCACCATTGCGGCGGCGGCAGCGCGGGGCTCGCCGGCGCTCAGCGCCGCTCCGGCGCGGGGCAGGGCGCGCAACTTCTCACAGCGGTACTGGGGCGGCGCAGCCGGCCGCGCAGCCCCCCGCGGCCGCGGTCCCGCTCCGCGCACCACTGTATTTCCACACCGGCGCCTCGTCCCCGGCGGCGCGGTCCTCTTCCCCCTCGAGGCGGCGGCGGAGGCAGCGGCGAGGCCGCCCGCGGTCAGACACAGTGACAGAGTTTCTGCAAAAGCCGCACCGCGAGCCGTCCGTCCAAGTTGGCTTTTTCCTTGGTGTGTTACGGGTTTGGGATTTTTGGAGGGGAGGATGTCCCTCTGCTTTTTTTTCCTCACCACCTCGGATCTGCCCCCTCCCTGAAGCAGCTGTGGTCCAGCAGTTCACAAGTGCTTTCCGCCTGCTCGCGGCGTTTCAGCAAAATAGCGCGCCCGGCGCACAAAGTCTCTCAGCGCTGGGCACGGCCAGCGTGCACCGGCGGCGAGAGAGGGGGAGTGGTGGCAGGGGGGAGGCGGCTGCGGCGCGCCTCCAAAGCCCCGAAAACCCCGGCTCCAGGACTCGTGGTGGTGGTGGTGGCGGCGGGTTCGGCGGTCAGGAGTTAGTGCAGGTAGGATTTGGCAGTTACGAGGCGCTGAGCGAAAACCCCTCAGGCAAAAAAAAAAAAAAAAAAAAAAATAGAAAAAGGAAAAAATAATAATTACGGAAAAAAATCACGAGGAATTAAAAGAGAAAAAGAAAAGCGCCCGTGCATGAACGAGTGTGTACGTCCCCGGCAGGAAGAGCGGCAAGCCGGGCTCACAGCCCCGTTCCTCCTCCGCCGCAGCCGGTGGTGGTTGTTCTGGTTCTGCTGCCGGCACTGCTGCTGCTGCTGCTGCTCCGCGCTCGCGGAGCCCTGCGGAGCTGCCGCTGCCACCGCCCCCCCGCCCGCCGGGCGCTGCCCCGCGCACAGCCGCGCTCGGCCGGCTGCAGCCTGAGAGCGGACCCCCGCGCCCGCCCCGCGCCCGCTTTATCCTTTCGCGGCCCGCCCCGCGGCCAATCGGGCGCTGTATCCAACGCCTCCGCGTGCCAAGCCCCGCCCGCCGCGCGGCGATTGGCGGGAGCGGCGGCGCGGTAATCGCGCCCCGCGTGCAATGGGAAGCGCCCGCGCTGACCTCATTCCCGGCGGCGGCGGCGGGGAGGACTTTTTGAAAGGGGGCAAAGGAGGGCAAGCCCCGCGCGCCGCCCCGCAGAGCACGTGCCCGCAACCCACCCCCCCACGTTACCCTCCCCCTTCCTCCCTCCCTGCAGGGTAAAAATTAGGAAATCAGCAGAAATCATCATAATGCAAATAATTAAGGGGGGGGGGGGGAGGGGACACCTGCCCGCACAAAGCAACGAACCGCCCCCGGTGACCCCGCTGCCGGGCGTTCCGGGAGGAGGATGCCGGAGTGCGTGTGTGTGTATGTATGTGTGTGTGTGTCCGTGTCCGCCCCCCGGCCACACGCGGGTGTTGCTGCGGCGGGGTCGTCACCCCTCGCGAAGTGGCCGCAAAGCGCTACCGCCACGCCCCCTCCGACATGGAGAGCGGCGCCGCGGCTGGGACGGAACGCGCGGCCCGCACCTCCTGCGGAGCGGGGAGCTCCGCACCGGCGGCAGCGCTCGCTGATCGCCGCCACCCATCCCATCGCCTAGCCGCGGAGTAATAGGGAGGGCAGACGCGTTGCCCTCACTGCCTGCTTTCCCTGCGTTCCGCCAGCGGCCACTCAGGCACGCCGCAGCCCCGTGACCCCTGGCTGAGGGGTCCTGTCCGGCCCCGCCGGCTCCCCTGGGAGCAGGAGGGGCCGCGAGGGGCGGGGAAAGCGGTACCCGGCCGGTGGGCAAGGACCAGCCTCCCGAGCGCGGAGGTACAACCGCGCCTAACCCTGTCCCCCCATCCCCCGCCGCCTCTGGGGCCCTTCGGAGGGTTCAAGGGGCGTTTCGAGATGCGTTTTCATCCCATTTTCCGGCCCCTCCGCCCTGCCATGGTCAGTGGTAACAACAGGGCGGCGGTGAGAGGCGCTGTGAGGCACCGCTTCAGGCCTCGCGGCGTCAAATAACCCAGTACTCAGGTAAAGGGTTGGTGAGGCCGTAAAAACACTGGCAACGTTACTGCCCCAAAGATTCCTCACACCATCCGTCAGGCCAGGGACCGAAAAGGCTGTTAGACAAAACAGCTGTGAAAATTTCTGTTCCACACACCAGCAGTTAAAAACACTTGTTAAATCAGAAACAAAAAACAATGGTTGAAAACAGCTGAAATGTGTGAAAAAGAGGTCTAAAAATAACTAAGATATTTTTGCAAGAAAATTTACAGTGGGATCCTTTAGCAGGGTTTCTAATTGGTTTGAGAACAAGCTTTGAATATTAGGATCCCACATGGGACACAGGCTACTACACTGTCACAAAGTGCTGAGAAAAATCCTGAAATCCAGGTACCCCCTTGGGTAGGTCACCTACATGACCAAGAACATTTGCAAAGATACAACCTAAATTATTGCTTTGGTTGCAAAAATAATACATTGTTTCCTCTTTCAGCCTCTGGTAAGCACTGGATAAAATACCGCTCTGTACTAAGTTGACGAGACTCAGTGACATCAGTGGTGTTTCTCACTTTTACACTTAGTGTGTAGTAAATCATGCTATGTTTACCCCCCACACTACCCCAAAGCTCACATCAAATCTGTTCTACCATACACCATCAACATCTGTGGAAAAAGGGATTCACAGTGGTTTGGGTGTTTGGCTTTATCTACACCCCTGGTACCCATGTGCAGCAGTGGGAAAAACGGGGTCTGGGAGCAGCCAGTGGCTCCTGGCTGCTCCACCTGTAAGCATGCTATCCAAAGGATTTCAGTCCCAGCTATTATGTTTTACATATAAATCTCAATTTGTTTAAACTACAAAGCAAGTAAAATATTCTCATGTTTCAAGATACAGGTTAAAGCAGGAAAAATACAAACTAAACTCAGAGACATGGAAAGAAAAAAGCTTTAGAGAAGCTTTTCACCCAGTTGTGTCACAGTGTGCCATGGCTAAAATCATCTTCAGGTGAGCTAAGCATTATCTTGATGAAAGCAGTCACCTCAATTTAATCTTGCTTCAAAAAGCATGAACATGGGATGGCCAGAAGAGTATTATTTCCTGAAGGAAAGAACACTTTACAAAAGGGCAATTTAGAATTGCTTAATAAAGCAAGTGCAAGAACACGATGTGAAACTCTATAAAATCATTTTACTACAATTTCTTGGCTGTTTCCTTAAAGTTAATTACTTCCACCCCTAATCCTCCAGTGCAGGACTGGAAGCACCTTCCAGGGCCCCACATTTTTAAGCCTAGGTGTAAAGTGTGAGCACTCAGCTTCCACCTAAAAGGCGGGTTGAAGCGCACTGGCCAGATTTCTCCACGTTTTACAAGTGAAAAAAACCCTCGAAACTTCATTCCTTTTCCTGCAGGCTTCGTAGGGCCGGGGGACGCGAGGTGGCAGCGCTGAGCCTCTTCTGCCAGACGTGGGAAAACGCGAGATACCCAACCCGGGACCTTTATTTTATATTATTACTATCATTATTTCCCCTCATGGTTGTACTGAGCGGCACAGCACCACAAGTTTCTAACTGGAATTCAGCAGGTTTGCATGACAGAGCAGCTGTGCCCACACATTCACACCCACTTGGCTACCGACGATAAACCCCGGGGGGAGCGGGGGGTGGGGAAGGGCACAGTCACCCTGACCCCTCTCCCACGCGTGGGACTGCGGCCCGACACCGGCGGCTCGCCCGGCTCACGGAGCAGGGTAACCTCATCCGGGGGAAAGCGTCCGGGCACATCAGCAGCAGCAGCAGCAGCAGCAGCACCACCGTGCGCTCCGGGCACCGACCACGGGCTTCCTGTGCAAATCGCACTACAGTCCCCACCGGTTAAAATGCCTTAAGAATACGCAGATTTAGCAAAGAGGCAGATTCCCCCCCCCCCCCCCCCCTTAAACCGAGGATTACTGGCTCTCAGGCATATTTAACTGCAGCCCTTGCCGTTGATCTTTTCCACACCCCCAGCTCCGCAGGCTGTGAGAAACGCTCTGGAGTTGAGTCTGGCTGAGCTTTCGGAAGGCAAACCCTCCCTCCCGCGAAACGTGTTCCTGCGTGCCCTCGCCGGCTCCTTTCCCGGGAGGGAGAGCTGCCCGGGCGGCCGCCCCGCTGGGCCGAGGAGTCCCTGCAGCTTTACCGGCCACCTTTCGGCCCCGGGAACCAGCGAGCTCGCCCCTCCGCCGGACCGGGCGGGTTAATTAACGCTCACAGTAACTGCGTGCTACGCACAAAGTGTACCTCCTCTCCCTAACCAGCCCCTCCTCGCTCAGCGCAACTCCGACCTCCAGCGCCCCCCTTCACCCCGGCAGGGGACTGTCCACACGGGCGGGCACGACTCTTCTCCCGCGGAATGACCCTCCCGCGTTGCAGGGGATGCGCGGACGCGGGAGTGGGGAAGAGGAGCCTGCCTCCCGCGGGGGAGGGTGCTCCGCGGCCGCGCACCGCCCGCCGCGCGGTAGGGAGGGAAGGGGAGGTGCCGGGAGCTGTGCGGCTCTCCGCGCCCCCCCGCGGAAAGGTCCCCGAGCAGGGCGCGCTTTTCACGCAACAAGCGGGGCCGTCCACCCGGGCACGGCCTGAGCAGCAGCTAGCAGCAGCAGCAGGGCAGTCACTAGAGAGGAAACACTGCGGGCAATTAAGGCGATTCCCGTCGCTCTGTGGCAGGCATCCTCTAGGCGGGGAAAGGCGGCACCTTATTTTCCTTAAAAAAAAAAAAAAGCAACACAAAATCCAAACCAACCTGTATTACTTCTGAGTGTTTTTCTGTCTGTAACATTCACCTCTAACATATATTTTGCCTTGACACTCTATGCTGCATTTAAATAGGTGTAGTGGGGTGATTTTAGCCTTTTGAACTGGAAAGGACTAGGCCACAGCAGAGGGATGCTGCTGAAGAGCCTTTCCCACCATCTTTCTGTTGCCTATTTTGATCCAAGGAGAACAGAGTTGGCAAGATACTTGCCATTAAAGGGAAAAAAGACCTGGCTTTTAAAATATCATGATGATAGTGGGTGATCAGGTGATCATGTTCAAAGAAGATGAGCATGCTTAGGGCTCAGAGGTGGAAGCTGAGATGAAAGTGAGCCCTCCTTCATCCTGTTTGCAAGCAGAAAACTCCATTGTACAACTGCGTCACTCAGGTTCACAGAGTACCTTTATTCAGCGTGATTCATAAACACTTTGAACTCTCCCCAGTGGCTTTGCGGAGAAGAACTTTTATTACTGGGAAGCATTTTATAGAGGATATTTAGGAGTGAAAATCTGTTGCCTAAAGTTGCATGGTATCGTTTCCTTCAAAACTGTATATTCACTTACGTTTTAGCTGAAGACAAGCCTTCACAGAGATACTCAGTGCTCTTGTTATGAGAATGCCAAGACATTTCTAGCTCATTTAATACAATAAGTAGGTAAGAAGCCATTTGCGTATATATATTTATATTAATTCAGATATTAATCACTTATATGGAAATGTCTGGTTTTGGGAAGGCAGAAGCACCTCTCCAGAGATTTTTAATAAGAAAATATGATAATACTGTCTATCCTTTATCCACGTTTGGGACTTTTGAAGTTTTAATTTGTGTTATTCTTAGAGAACAAGTTCAAAAAGCTCTGTAAAAAAAAAGGGGGGGGGGGGGGGGGAGGAGGAAGAAACTTGGAAAAACACATTGTTTGCATTTACTTAAAAGGAGAATTGCAACCCCTAGCCAATCCTATAGGATTTAGTAAACTTTGGGTTTGGCTTTTTTAAGCTTCATATAAGGAAAGGTTTTTCTTCAGTTTTAAAGCTTTTTTGGCAAGGCTTTCCTGCAAAGTGAAAAGCAGCACAGCCACAAGGTTGAAGAGGAATTACTGGTCTGCTACATATGTAGCAGCAGATTGCATATTCATGAGGTGCAGCTGCCAGGAAG